AAGGGCCGGTTGATGATGAGATGCCTGCTACGGCTGTAAGCGAGTCGCGCACAGCAGTCCGAGCAACGACATGAGACATGATGTACAACAGCTGTTCGGTGTTCTTGATGTGCTGCCTTGAACGCATCAAAAACTCCAAACACCGAACAGCTTTGTTTTGAGCCTTTGAGGACTTTAGGTACTCGCCCTCCTATGCTTCAAAGACATTGTCTTTCGTGGCATTGTACGTAGGGCAGAGTACATGCGTCTGACCATCGATGCTCAGTGGTAAACGCAGCCTGGGTGAGCGGGTGGGCTGGCGGTAAAATAGACACCGACCGATTGGGCGGGTGTGCGAGGCGTGGCAATAGCCAACACAGCAGAGAGCAGTACGGCTCGAACTCACATGTTGACGTGGATCATCGTTCGTGTTGTCCGTGCACCGTCCGTGCTGCAGTACTCACCAGAGCACAAGAGTTCCCAATCTAAACAACGGCAGTACAGTCAGGAGATCAAAGATTGCTGTGCCGATGTGACGCGTTGGACACTTGACACGAAAACACAAAACCCACAGACAATTATGGGACGCAGGCGGGACTGTCAGATAGATTCTCCGGTGCCCCCGTTGGACTTGGAGCGCGACGCCAGCAAACACCACAAGACAGCAACGAAGACGGTCTTGTGTCTTGTGTGAGGTGCAGCACCAGAAATGCTTCCAGCGGGTAAGGGACTGGTGCGCCAATGGCGTCAGGTTCGGTGCGGTCAGGCGTTTTGCAGCGCTACTCGGCCGTCACGACTGTGGATGAGGCAGGAAGAAGAACTCAGGGCTCTGCAGCAGGAGCGCGACGAAGAGCTCAAGGAGCAACAACGAGAGCGAGAGCGGGTGCTGACCCTTCCTCATACGGGGGTAAAGGAGAAAAAAACAGGTACAGTAAGGAGCCCGATATGGTGGCAACTTGGTATAGAAATGCCGATAAAGTGATATCAAAATCTCCTGTCATTATCTCTCCCCGACACCATGACACACCAGGCGTACAACAGCAGTGTTCATGTAGTGTTGGATGTGCTGCTTTGTAGTGATATTTAGATATTTACCCCCCCAGGAGTGGCAATTCCAAACTCGGAGCTCCACACCTCATGCGCATTGCGCACCCACACACACAGCAGCAGTGGGCGCCACACGTATCATGCCAGCATGCGCGGATCTACAGTATATAGTACTGTTTAAACTCCTCTACATGCAGGTGCAGAGCATTGTGACGGTTGGGATGGTGGGATGTTGAAATGCGCCCGGAGGGGGGGGGGAGGGGGGCGATGTTTACATGCTCGCTTTTTTGGTTCCTCCAGTTGTTTTCGCGTGCAATATTGTACCGGGAGAGGCGGCCCCCCGCCGGTCGGTAGTGTGACGGAAGTTTTTGTCCTAGATAACAAGGTAGGGACTTGGTTTCCGTCGGTGTTGTGACACATTTGAAAAGGGGCACAGCAGGCGCACACATCACTCGCGATCTTGCAATAAACAGCAAACACAGCACACACAGTAGCGAGCATGTAGCACACAGAAGGAGGGGTGTGTGGCACATGGAAGCAACAGGTCCGCGCGCTGCTACTGCTGCTGCTATTTGCGGCACAGCCGTAGCAAGTAGCAAGCAGGCGGCAGAGGAGAAGCTGCAACTTAATCATGATCGCCAGGCGCGAACAAACGCACACAACAAGGGAGGTTGGCACACTGACGCAGTGGCAATATACATCACATATACTCCATTCTGGCAGCAGCTGCTGTCGTTGTATATGGTGGTGTGGTGCGGAACGTGACCAGACAGATCAGAGAGGGTGCTCTATTTTGCCGTTGGGAATTCATGTACAGCAGCAGCAGCAGCAGCAGCAGCAGCAGCAGCAGCAGCAGCAGCAGCAAGTAGGCGGGATCTTTCACAGCTCACATCATCACAGGGGCAAACCTCAAGGCAGAACCGCCTTTCTATACGTGTTTGTTGCTCGAACCACCGCTGGTGCTGCTGCACTTGGCTGCCTCCTTTGGCTGTGAGACGATGGCGTGCTTGCTTTCCTGATATACCTACAGATAGGCACATTATATGATTTGATGTTGACATGCTAGAAGTGCTGACTTGTGCGCTGCGAAGAACAGCGCCGAGAGGAGACAAAAGAGGGCACAGACAAATCTAGGTGATCTCTTGCTTTTCCCGCATTTGCTGCAACAATCCGCTTGTGAATCGACGTCGCGGTCGTCGAGATATACAGGTGTTCGCGCGAGAAAGGCCTGGACTTCCTTTTCTTTTTTCTCCAGGCGCCGCCATTCAAAAATCGCCGCTGTGTTTGTTTGTACGTTTGTACCCCATCCTACATGAAGCCCGCCGGATTTATTAAATTTGCGTGACTTTACTGCTGTGCGGTAGCTTAGCTCTTCTCAAGCTGTCTACGCACTACGGTGAATATAGTCTGTGACCCCAGAAGGCATCGCTGTCGCTCGAACGAGCAAGTACCATGTGGTCTACGACGAAAGGCAACCACTGCGGTTGTGTACACATTGTCTATATGGTAGTTCCAATTATGTCCACCCTCATTGACTGTAAAACACATCGTCCAGTCTTCAACACATCCGTTCGAACGGAGTATCAGCCGTAACAATCGTTGCTATTATGCACGCATATTGCCAAGGATTCGGCGTCACAACCATGATACCTGACTCCGGAACTCCGGAATTTGGGCGATTGAGCACGCTCGCGTGGATTACGGTAGTTTTTGTTTGTGGAGGCAGAGAGATGGTGTTAAGTGTGACAGCAAGGTGTCAGTCTTGCTTGTTGCCGTGCATGTGTAGATCTGGACCCTCTGTAGGCACCTGCTAGGAACGAACGTCAGTCAAGCACTTATTTTGCTTCGGACGAGCTTCGCGCGCGATGCAAGCCTTGGTGCGTCTTTGCTGTAACCCTTTCACGACGGCGGGATGCCTCACGCGTACTGGGTTTGTTGTTCCCCGTGGCTGGAAGCTCTCAGCGGCACGTGTACAAGTATGTACATCACCATCATTTGTTGCTTTTTCTCACACCAATTTCATGGTTGTTGCAGATGGTTTGCCTCCTCACGCGTATTTTCTGAAGAGAAAACAAGGCGGGCTTCAGACCTGGCCGGGCTGCCCTCGGCCTGGTACTTTATTGAATACATCCGGCTAGATAAGTCAATGCCACCGTACATACAATGCTCTATGCCTTCGTGCAGCCTGCGATAGCATAACATCAACTCGGGATACTCAACACTCGCTCCGCAGGAGCGTCCATTCCCCTTCATGCCTGTACAGAGAATTTTTTGGCTTACACTGACCCCGATGTACGCCGAAGTCGATCTCGCGCCACCTGAACAGCCCAATATTGTCAGACCCTTTTGCGTCAGAAGCTCAGTGACAAAAGGCCAACGGCTGCCCGATGAGCTCGCTCTCTACTTCGTCACGGCCTTCCAACAATCCTCAACTAGCTTGCAACTTCTGTTGTTCCGTATCCTCTCGCTCGGCTCAATTTCCTTGGCGGGTGCGTCTTTGCAGCTGAGTCGCCTCCAGAAGTGGCTGATGCCAAATCCGATAATGAGAAGGATAAGCCCACCGCTAGTGGAGACAGTGGAGGTGGCTGAGAGTGACGTTCAACGCCGCCATCAAACACGGCTTCGGTGGAGGAAATCACGTCGCTTTTGGCTCCTATTTTTCTCTGTCTCACCACGACGGCAACGGAGATTAGGGCAACGAGAGGAAGCTTGTGTCCGCGTGTTCGTAATGTGCTATAGGCTGAACGGGTCATCAGGGGTGCAGGTCATATAGCTATTGCGTACTTGGACGACTGTGCATGCGCTCCCCCTCCCCAGCGTGTGACTGTCGCTAGATGCCTGTGTGCAACATCCCTCTAATAGCACATGCTATTTTACTTTTTGTATAGTTGCCTCATTAGTCAAATGGACCCAAGCTAGATGTGATGCGAACACGCGAATTTGTACAAACCCGTATTTGATTCGAGAGATCTGGAGCTCGGGAACCGGCTTAAGACGTTGGAATCACGCGTGGCCACAAGCGACGGCTGTTCTGCACGAAAGAAGGTGCGCGGTGTTTGGACAGTAGTAACAAAAAGCGTTCCCACTAATAGTTTCGACGCCTGCAGGTTACGCCACGGTTCGAAGTATTTGTACAAACATGTGAGACGTATGTGCTTCATGCGTCGCTCCACTACAAACGTCTCACCATGCCCATCAAGGTACACGCGTCCGGAGATCCATAATGAAGCCACCCGTTCCTTCGCCCCCTTTGCTGGTTTCCTTGGTGCGTGCTATCTCGTCGGAACAGAAGCCGCCGAGGCGGAAAGGAACTGTACGGCCGAATGATGTTGAAGTTTTTGGGCAGTTTTGATCCCAAGCAGATCGAACAACAGCAGCAGCATCAACAAGTAACAACACCGGAAGATCCGGCACTAGAATTGGACCTGATGATGATGTGCTTGGGGCGCGAAGCCACTAAAACATACTGTTGTCTACAAGTAGGAGACTTAGTTGCTGGTCGGCAAACGTTGGCCATGAGCATGGCGCTTCCGTTCGCTGAGGAAATTACTTCCCATCTACTGGTGATGCGTCGGCAATTTCGATGGGGGAGGTTGGTCGTTGTGGTATTCCGAATGGTCGTCCGCCGTTCTCATCGGCACTTGGAAGCAAACGCTGCGTCAAGTACAACGGTCATTTCACCATCCTGCTGTGTACAGTGGCCGCCCGGCAACGTGCAAAATATATGAACGTCGTGGACCTTACCTGAGAGTTTTCTCGGGCAGTGAATTTGAGTAATCCTAGGCTGCATCGTGTCAAGTCATCTGGTTCACTGATACCGTCTCTAGTGTGTCATGGAGAGAGCTACTGTTTTCAACGCTTACACCGCGCGCAGTCTTGTCTGTTTTAGACGTGACACGGCGCATAGAGCTAGCGAAGTAATCGTGCACCAGCATCGATCTTGTTACCGTTGGGCGTGTGACGTTGGCATCGGGCGTCTGTCAACGTCCTAGGAAAACGAAAAAGCACGAATACACGGTGATCTCAGGCCGTATCAACACTTGAGATGTACAGATTCAGGCAACGCCGTCACTCCCGAAAAATCAGCTCAGCCTGCCTTCTGCAGTACCCCCTCTGAAAGTTAGCGAGGGCGATGGCCGACCTACAAGCCAGTGATCACACGCGGCAGCAAGCGTGGCAACCGGCTTGATGAGCAGATATGCATTCCGAAGACTGAACAATGGCCGGGGAGAAGCCCCTCAAACATGGCAACATCTGCTCGGATAAATCGAATTCTTTGGGCGAGATGCTTGCCGCAGTTCGGGAAGGGCCCTCAACGAGTGCGGTAGAAGGTCCACGGTAGCTGCACGTCCTAGCCCACGCAAACTGCAACGGCTTTCCGATGAAAAGAAGATAGTGGGTGGCCGATCATTGTCAAGCAGCTCCCCGAGTCCTCTTGTTCGTTCTCCGTTCACCGCACCTAAACGTTCTGAGACCACTTCTTGTGATTGCCAATTTTGTGGAACGCGCCACCAACAAATCCAAGAACATGCCGGCTGTCCTGCACAGGCTACTGCCCAGGGCCCATTCGCAGCAGGTCGCCCCCCTCTCCCCTCCTTCATGGGTTCTCCGACTTTTTGTCATCTTGACGTTGAGCCCCCCGCGCAGGGTGGAGTAGGTTCGACCTTGTCCCCGCCCTCAGCAGCCCACTGAGCTGGGGTCCTCGTTGTCATCGACAAGGCGTGAATATCTTCAACCAGTTCCTCCTTGAGGGCGGCGTTGACCATCCGATGCCTTGCTAAAAGAGGCTTGCCTTTTGAATTTAAGGGATGCCGTGGAGTGCGTGGTAGGAGGCGCGGTAGGAAGGTGTTTTCAAGGAGGAACGTGTAGCAAGGGTGGCCCGGAGGTCGTGGAGGGCTGTGCGGCGTTGGGTTTGGTCGTGACGGCTGGTGGCACTTACCGGGCCTCATTCACCATGCTGGTGGTGCCGCGAGCAAGGACACAAACAGCTTTTCGAACGACGTCGGTGCTATAACATGCCAGAAAAACGATTAGCTACACAAAGGCTACAGTCGTCGTTCACAACAGATACAGAACCTGAGGAACATTGCTGGTGTGCGACCATTAACCCTTTTGAGTCTTCAGGCGTTCTCACTGATCATTGATTGATCATTTGCAAATGCTGGTGTAGTGGCAAGTCGTGGAGTTGCCGCCCTGCAGCCCTTCGCGCCGTGTATTGGCAAGTCCATAGGTAGGTGTGTCTAGATTATTAGGACCCGCGCCAACCGGCTGACCAATGAAGAGACTTCAGTGACAGCGGCGGGTAATATCAAGGTCTCGGGAATGGGAATGGGGCCAATCAATGACAAATCATGAATCTCTCAACGTGTGCATATGTCAATGAACGCGTGTGTGCATAGATACATACATACATATGTGTTCTTTCGCAGCACCACACATACACTCGCCCGAACGTAGGAAGCCACTGCTGCTGCAAAGAGCAGAGAGCAGCAAAAGGGAGGGGTATTGCAATCTCTGCCGAAGCCCAGATATCGAGGATATCGTGGTTCCCAACAATTTGAAAATCGTTCCCAAGACCCAGCAGTCATTGTGTCAGCAGCTACAACGAACGCTACAACAACACTACTACTACTGCTGTAGACGAGTAAAACATATCAGCAACACATCCACACTCGTAACACCACACATACCACCCTCGCTCGAACCTAGGAAACCACGAGGTACAGGTGTGTGCTGGTGGATGTGCATGTTGTTTGAAAAACACAGGAGCTCTAGAGAGCTGGCAGGGCACATTTCGGGGGGGGGGCAGAGAACAGAGAAGTACAGAAGTACAAACACCAGCTATGGGTCTTCACTGATCATTTTGCCCTCTCTGGACTGATCATTTACAATATACCGAAAATAGACTACTTGAGGCAGCTAGACGACTGATCATTTCAAAGTCTACACAGCTAGCCTGCCCTACTGACCGCAGCGCGACCACCCATCAACCCTTCTACGACCCTGTCCGTGGCCACCACCCTGTCGCCGGCTTCTCTCATGGCCTACAGTTGGAGATAGCTGTTGCGTGTGCAGAAGTACACTGGTGTCTTTCTCTGCACTTCTCTCTCTCCCGCTCGCTCTCGCTCTAATTTGTTTTTTGGCGCAAAAAAAAAAATCTGACAGTCCAGCCTAGACCCAAAGGGGTTAAGAAACCTTGGTAAGACTGCGGTACTGCACCTGCGTTGCAGCCCATGGAAAAAAGGGCCCTTTCGTTTATTCGCGACAACGAATACGATAGCACTGTGCCCCCTATTCTCTTTTTTGTCTATAGGGGTTTGAGGTTATTTTGGAACAGCTCTCGCCGTAGTGCCGATCCAAAATTCTAGATCACTGCATCGCAATCTGTGGTGCCTGAAGTACGCTGCTCCGGAACGCCAGTGCTTTTCATGCACTTTCTGGACCGCAAAAGTGCTGCAAAGTCTGGCCAGAGGCTCCGTGAGGACTTAAACATGGGATGTGGCCGATTCTTATTTCACGCGCTTATTACCCGCTGCCAACTACTCGCGTTTAGAGGAAGTTGGTGTCGATTCTAGGTGACCTATGTAGACCCATGGCGAGCGATATGATGCTGACCCAAAATTCCACATTTTTTCTTTGAGTTCTGTGGTTATCCTTCTGCTGTGTGGCGAAGTCACAAAGGACGTAGTCACGTTTTCGGAGCGCTACCCGAGGAAATAAGGACTAGGCATCAATTTAATAGCAAGATCCGGAAGCAGCATATCCGGAGTAGACATCAATAAATCTTCGCTAACCCTCCTACAGTAGTACTCAGCCCCTCTGCAAAAAAAAATGTCTCAAAACTGTTTGACAGTCATTTGTCGAGGGACGACAGTCCCTCCAAATAATCTGAGCTCTTTGCCAGACAAAGGGTGACTTGGCTTCAGTACAAAGAGTGTCCCAAAAACACGTGGGGACACCTTTTATACTGAAGCCAAGTCAGTAAATTATTCCGGGACGAGGCGACGTACAGTTTTACGACCTACGGGACACGCGGCTTGGGAGATGGTGAACAGCAAGTCAGAGGCCGAGGAGAGGCATCACGTAGCATATCACAGAGCGTACCACCTCAGCCAAGCATGATAGACCAAGGGTCCTCACGTGCGTTTCACACAGCGGAGCCTATTATAGGGTGACTACGGCGAGGTAAATCGGCATTTGAGTGCTGTTGTGTCACCAAAGTGTCCCGATTTGGGCTTCAAGTACTGGGAGGGTTAAGAAACCGAACGACTTCCAACAGGCTTGGTTTTCGCGAAAATAAGAGATTGAGTCTCGACCCGACACCGAAATTGACGTTTCTCGTTTCTTATGTTCGGGCCATGCAAAGCTGTTCTGATGTGTCCCTCGCCGACCGAGTGTCTTGTCCTACATAAACTATGCAATAGTCTATGTAGCCAGCAACAGCAATCTGACGCAGCGGCACATGGGGAAAACGTGCATACACACACGAACACGTACTAGCGCACCAGATCCTTCCCACTCTGCACACACCTTCGAACTTGGTAGAGACGACGATGACCTAAATTAGGGAAGCCCGTTTGTGCGAACAGAGCGAAACCAGGACGCGCGATAAGAAGAGCAAGACGCAGCAGGATGAGAGGGTCAACGGGACGCCAAGATAAAACTACCGTATGTAGCATTGAGTAGCAGGGGCCAGTGAAACAACCAGCGTCATTTATTTCAATATCTCAAGAGAGCATGTTTCGCTGGCGCAACACGTTACTGCTGAAGCTCTACCTCGAGCTGCCTCACCTTGAAGTGCGACTCTGCCCCCAAAGGAGCACCGTGATTACCCGACTCATTGATAACCTCAATGTGCGACGGCGTCAACTCCGTCGTCAGTTTTTCTTCAATCAAGGCCTGGAGAGACATTGGTGTGTCTGTGTTTTCCTCTCACACAGGATAGGTGTGTAACACGCCACGACCCCGCGGGTAGAGCTGAGGGTGCTGCCGCTGACTGCTGTGTTCCCAGGCTGCCAGCTCTGCAGCACTAACTTGGTACTGGCTCCCACTCAGCGCCAGCCACCACGTTGTACGTACCCCTATTTCACGTACACGTCACCCCCTCGGGACTGTCAAACTTTGTGGCCTACACGCCTACACTGCTGTACAGACCACCAGACCAGCCACCACGAGCGGACCTTGCCACACCCTTCCTTGTACACTTTCCGACATCGTAGGGATCAGTGGCAAACTGCCGACTACCGTGCGTCTCCACAACCGCGTGCGCAAAATACTTTCGGGTTACACAGGAATGCCAGCGGGAAAAAAGAGGGCCAAAGCACGTCCTGCTGCTGCTGCATGCAGTAACTTCGGATTTCTTTGAGAACGACATACAATCAATGTAGTCTATCGGATAGATTGACGGAAACACGTGAAGTCCAGTACCCAGCCGGTTTTCCTCCACTCACTGGAAAGATTCCACCACATCCCGTTCGACTGCTGTGGGTATATCTCGAATGGGTAGTCTTTCTGTTTGTGTGTGTGTGTGTGTGTGTTTTTTCCCAACATAACATGCTAATACATCGGGAATCGGGCTGTCGGATAGACCGACGGACAACAAAACGGGCCAACAATTGACGAGCGGTTCAAGATTTTCGGCTGCTCTTCTTTTTACTCTCAGCTCGTTTTTGTGGTACCCCAAGCGGTCTGCGGGATCGCCGAGCGTACAAAGTTGCCACGGCGGAGAATCGGCGAATATAATCAGAATACGATACAAGGTAGGTCTTACAGAGTTTCCTAGGAACATGTCTTTAGGCCCTAATCCATGACAACACCACCAGGCGCACAACAACAACAGCAGACAACACATCGCACACACCTACGTCCTCCCTCTATCCAGGTTTCCGACTGCCACCGCCACCGTGAACCAACAACAGCAGCAAGCAGGGAGCTGCGCGCCCTCGTGAGAACTTCGAGAGCTACCAGCCATCATGTGGTAAGCTTTTACACCATATGATTGTACATACATAAATACATACATTCCCCGTCTGGACGTGTCACCCCCTACTACCTGGCCACAGGGCAATTCAGTCTAGTTACTACAATGTGTCTACAGTCATTTCTGAAGCATTTGTGCACATCACTCGCTCATACATGCATGTAGCAGCAGTGTCGTGGAAGGAGAGCGATATGTCAACATTAATATTAGATTACATGTAGATAATAGATGTGAAGATATCTCAACAGAGCTCCCGCAGCATGGTACGTAGACTATACCGCTAGTTGTTTTTTTCTGATACTCGTCGGATATACAACAACGAACCACCCACGATGTTATGTGGTGACGGCTTGCTGCTCCTCGCAGGAAGCCGGCCGAAGTCCTTCCACAGCACAAGCGCCGGGCAGTCACGCTATTTATTACTTTGATTGTGGCGATCTTGGCATGTGAGTTCGCAAATCGGTTGGAAAGTTGCTGCCTTGTGGACGTCTTCGCTGAAGCGTGTCAAACCGGCTCGCCTTTTCCCTCAACCTCCCGAAAGTCGCGAGGTGGAACGCCTAACTACGTACGTACCGTTGTTTTCGAGCCGAGGGTGTCGGATGATGAACAAATGATGAGTAGAAGTGGCTGCCTATATCCGTAGCAGCAATAAACTGCTGTTGTTGTTGCGGTGCAAAATACAGCAAAATGTGGACGGAATTAATTGGAGTGAGTGCGTGAGTTTTTTAAATGAGGTGAGTGCGAAGTTATGATTTTCCATGCATCGTTGCTTTCTGCTGGGATGCCCCCCCACCTCCTGTGAAGAAACCATCAAGAGTCTTTAGCGAAGGCCTTGACAGAGCCAGGGAAACATCCTTACTTATCAGACGGCGGGGGCACATTCATTTCAGCGCCACCAACCTTGTTCTGCCTACACTACGGTCTTGCCTCTAAAGTTCTTTCTTCGGAGCTATAATAGCTGCACCTGCCTCCGTCTATTTTCGTGACTCAATCGCTTGTGTATTTGCTGTATTTTGTCCGCATCTGCTATCGTTTGTTGGATTTCCTACACGTGTCAGATTCGGGGCTCCTCGTTTACAATGCGGTGAAGAAGAGCAAGAATCCGAGTACATCGTTCGTGCTTTCGGTGAGTTTAGTATGTGCTGCGTCTTCGCATTGCTGTCGCATGTCAATCACCAACCAAGCATTTCCCACCAAACTCTGATTTCAAGGAGGGGCTGGCACATGTGAACAGGATGCAGGTAGTCTAGACTGCACGAAATATTTCACGGGGGCCAAATGGAGCTATGTACACCGGTTCCGAATAGGGAAGCTGGACTCTTACGGAATAGTTCCCCAGCAGGGCCGATGTTCCGACTGGCGTACCTACCGGTTATTAACAGGATGATGGATATCCTGCTACAGGGTCATGGGTATCAGGAGGGCGCAGGTTGATATGATGGATGCTGTGTGACTGCTAAGGATATTGTGATTGCCTACAGCCATCTCTGCTGAATTGCTACCTACAATATCGTTCTCCAACAAAAAGCTTGTTATGTCTCGGCCAGGTGAGGCGTGATTATCCTAGATACCTCGAGATGTAAGCTTAGCTGGAACTTTGTCGCAAAAAGTCAGCACTCCCTCAGCAGTGATACCTCACTTAGCCTTAAGCATGTGTGTCTTTGAAGTCATCCTCGAACGTTCCGTTAGGACAGTTTTTATGTCATCAGATCTCCGGGATCCAAGCGCCACGGAGGTGACACGAGTCCGCGGCGTCAGAAGAAGTTGTGCAAAACGACTATCCTTAATGATCGCCGTCCCCCGGAAGGCTCGCAACATCTCTTGGAGCACATGTGCAAATTCCTTATCAAACTTCACATATCCCAAAGGACCCGGGTCATTTGTTTCCTCTTTTCAACAGCAGTGATAACCGAACATCGTTTCGTCGAGAACATCGGCGCTTTCGATGCAGTTTACCGCCATGATTTAACCGACAACAGCCACCATCCAAGCATTTCCAGGATAGGTCGAACCAATCGGTGGATGCGCGCGAGGTGCGTGGGGCATCTTCATACTTTGGGCTCCTTTGAAGGCCACAAATTGGTCGAGGCTCAATTTCGTCTCCAGGGCCAGACCATAGTTCTTAACAAACAGGGCGTGGTCATGTCACCCTGTCGCTTTGCGCGAAAGGACTTATGGTATGGGCTTTAATCCTGGACCAGCCGGTGTCCGGAGTAGGAAAGGCACCCCCATCTCGAAAGGAATGCGTGGTCAATGATCAAACGAAGAGCACCTGACTCCTCCTATCCCCCACCGCACGCGCCTGTTTATTGTTTCGCAGAACAACGTTTACAGGTACCCAGACACCTACGTGTGTTTGTACAACTTTTTCGGTTGCGACGACATGGCCTTGGAGGAATTCTGCGCGTCTTCCGTCTTCGACACGGAAGGGGGCAGCAGCACAGCGGTGTTCAACCCCGGCGGGGACCTGGAGCAAGAAATTGCCACCACTGCGTACTTGACCGATGAAGTGAGTATTGTGTTGAGCTCCACCAGTATCCTACTATTGCTGCTACATTTGTTGGTGTAGATGGTCCTTCTAGCTTTACTTCAAAACCTTTCTGACCGCCCCCACATCGTACGGTGCTGGTCCAGAGAAACCGCTCTCTGGACACACACTCAATGGCGTATGATCACCAACAGGAGTAACCTGTTGTGCGATTCATTCCCGAAAAGGAAAATGATATTTAAAAAGAAAGCAGGAAATTGCAGAGAGTGAGGAACTCTGGACACGAGGTTCTGATCGTGGATGAAAGCCTAGGCAGGGCGCGGTGCGACGGGTGTCGTCCCATTCCCCCGGCGTTTCCGACCGGTAGACTCGATAAATGACCACGCATGGGTGAGGGTGAGGTGAAAAACTTTGTCTGAGATGACAACGTTTGGTGGCAATCGATTGTCAGCTCGTTTGCTGCTTTTCTGCTGCTTTCAGAGGGGCTGGTGCGTTTCCTTCGAGACTTCCGCTGTGGACATCGTAGACGGCGAGCGAGACCCGGAGGACTACATCCTCCTAAACGTGAGCAACGTATATTCCATGTGTGCCGTACTTAGGAACACCACGGTCATGTCAATTTGTTCTCCCCAAGCATCGAACCAAGTCTCGAAGTATAGAAAAGCGTTCTCTTCACTCACGATTCCGAAAACGTCAGCCCTTCCAGCCACAAGGATGGGCCTCCACCTGGTGCTTGCTATCGTACGGCCCTCGAATTTTGGCGTTGACGGGGCTGCTTTGTTGTTGTGTTTTGAACAGATGTATTGGTATCCGGGCGGGACCGCGAACGCTTCGACGACGTGCATTTCTGAGGAGGGCGAGTGGGAATCTCACAGGTGATAAATAATAATATTCGGCGTGGAGCCTTACACATGTCTTTATTTACGACAATGAGAAGCACGAACTCCCTCCATGAGTATCATAAACGGTGTAACTCATGGAGGAAGAGCCGGTGTGGTCTGAAACGTTTCCAAGGCTATGCACTTGCGATGCGTACGTAGCTGCCCCATGTCTACCCTTTACCTTGAAGGAAAAACTCAGACATTCCAGAAGAGGTAGCCTTAATAGAGTATTTATACGGACGGAACCAGCAGTGCAAAACGTATTTTCGGGGCGAGGTTTAACATTCCAGTTGCAGCCCGAAGTACTAGCGAAAACGTTATTGATGTATGTTTGCTACAAAAGGTTTTCGTTTGCCGCTAACGTTCCACGTATGTATCCACATCTCTCTGCGGGCACCACCTACGGTGCTGCTTCTTCCAGCGAGAGCGTGTTCATGTTTTTGCGAGACTCGGACACGGGCATCCTGTCGGCCGGCATCCAAGTCGCCTACAGCTGCATGACCAGCGAGTCCAGCAGCCACGTCTTCACCTACATGGTGAGCAGAGCGGTCAAGTATTCATGGCGTTACGCACTCCCGACCAGCCCTATCTCACGAGTTTCAGATAACCAACCCTGCCCACGTGCTGAGTTTTTGTCTAAACGACGGTGGGGAAATGGGTCAGGGTACCCTGTTGCTGCCCGCGTCCGTTGTAAGCCATGTATCAAGCACAGTCGTGACGTCCCAAAAGTGCCGCTCTTCTGAAGTATCACCCAAAATCTGTTCCATCGAAATGTCGACACAAATGCTTAACACGGCCCGGTGGCTCAGTGGCATTTGAAGTATCCGCGGTGTTCAGTTGGTGGGTGTATTCCCGACCTCGTAGGTTTATTCCTTCAGCTCCGTTTTTTACATGAGCTATTTTCGCGTATTTTTTTGTCTCATGTCTCGCGACACATCAGATCCTCGAGTTCAAAATCAAGTTTTACCCAGCAGTGTCTGGTGTCGTGTGTCGTTCATTTGACGGCACGGTGGACCAACGCCGTGTCTGTTTCCTGTGGAAGGAAGCGCGAGGTGGGAAACAGGAGTTTCACGAAATATGTAGACGTTGGACGTGGTTGTTTTCGCCACGTGCATAAATGTAAACTGGTCGGCGATCTCATGGTCAACTGCACATGTAAGTTGACCACTAAGAAGTGCGTGCCACCATCAAATCAAATGAATTATCGCCAAAAACAAGTGCTCAAGTCCTTGCCGTTAACACCCAACTTACCACCGCTTCAAATAACATCCGTTCACCTATTAAAGATCACCGCCGTATCGCTTTCAGGGTACCACCTCACCACCATCACAAAGAATACACATCCGCGGAGCAGCCTAATACTCCGGGTCGCTTGGTGTGCAATCCACCGCACGCACTCCATCAATTGTCGACGAGCACCACCACACAAGTGTGTGTTTGGGCTCCGCACTCTCGTCTTGCCGCCATACAGGGGATAGGACTTACCAAGGAGGATAAGCTCTACGAAGACGACACCGCCTCGTACAAGGCTCTGGAGACATCGTCAGCTATCTACAAAGACAAGGTTGGAAGTGGGATTTTACCACTACTGTCTGACAGTCCGTCCCAAGCATGTTAAATACCAGGTCCAAACATGCTACAAGAGGCGCTGTCCCTCTTGTATTATATGCTACCCAGGTCTGATACCTGTTGGTGCTGTTCGTACAGACAGGGAAGTGCCGTCGGTTGGATGTATCATTGATGTGGTGCCTGTTGCTTGCATACACCCGACAACAGACTACGGGGTGGTCTGAAAAACGAAACGAAAGTCGTCAGAGTCCGGGTGTCTCAACCAAACCGGTCACACCCACAGGGTCGAGGCTGGAGACTCCCACGTGCAATGGATTTCTAGCGGATTACATCCCGGGCCCGTTTGACTGATAGCTTATCGATGCCGGTGATGATTCCGGTGCCGGGAACGTGAACGTTGTAGCGAGATATCCTGATGATGACGTGGGCAGCCGACACGTTTGGAAGTTGACCTGCCCTCCCTTCTCCCTTCCGCCCCTCGTGTGGAACTGCGTTTTCGTTTGGAACAACTTGCTCGTCTTCTGCTTAGAGGACCGACAACATCACCGGAATTGCGAGCCCTTACGCGTGGTTGTCTATGGAGATAGCGCAGACAACAGACTCTCTAGAAGAGATCACGGAGATCAACCCTCTCGAGATCGCCGAGTTGTTCGGCAACGTTGGCGGGTTCTGGGGTGAGTTGTGCTCTGTGTCCTCGTTGAGGTGGTTGTTCACGTTGGCTCAGTGAAATAGTTAACGAACCCGACGAAGAGAGTGTGTCAAAAATAAGCAAGTGCACAAAGGCGTAAAAGCAGAAGGACGCGGGTCAGGGACGGCATCTTTCATGGAGAACAACGCTCAGACAGACTCGAGAGCAAATCCAACGGCAACTTCGCCAGCTACACTGTACGCGGAAAGAGTCCAACGGTCAACTTTGTTCGCACGCGGGGCAGCGCAACTTGTTTCCAAGGCCCCTGAAAGGGCCGCAAAAATATGCCAACAGCGACGAACGTACATTAGCTAGAAAATGCCAGAGGACTGATGACGGTCCGACACAAGCACCACGGCGAAAACATTGAGGAAAAATTACTCCCAAGAAACTGATTATCCTAGATTTATTGTGTAAGAGAAAAAATGCCATGGAAAGAGATCATGGGGTGAACGGGTAAGAGAGAGGCAGGGATAACGCAAGACTAAGTTCGCCACTTGTGTGAATACTCTATTAAAACTATATACCTACACTGATATCTGTCGTTCGACACCCTCTCGGTGTCCTTCCTCCTCAGATCTTCCTGGATTTCTTTGGCCCGATTGGATTCTCTTCGCGTTTGGAACCATACCCATACACGTACTTGCGCATACGTTCCCTTGCGTCCTCCTATTTTGCTTCTTCCCTTTTCGTGCTTCGCTGTCGGCTCCCTGCAGACTTGCTACTCATGTTGTGGCCAATATTTTTCATCTCCGCATCGCGCCAAGACCCGCACCTCAAAGTCCGAAACTTCAAGAAATCCGTGACCAGGGGGTCCGAGGTTGTGGTCGATTTGTCAAGGCGAGTCAACAGCGCTAGCATAGAAATCCCGCATCCCCTGAGGAGACAGCCCGGCAGCAGGCAAAGCAACGCTACTGGCGAGGATGGGGAGCCCCCACCAGCCTGGGAAACGGGGGGGACGCTGCCAGCATACGCACAGCAGGTGGATACAGCCGATCCTTGATACTGGTTTTAGACGTATTGGCGGTTCTTGGTATCGTTGGTGTCGCTGGCGATGTCGGTGCGTACAGTCCTCTGCATTTACGGTCCGGTCCGCAGGGCAGCCAGAGTTAACCCTCACGAAAATTCTGCCTGTTGGCCCGGGTGATCGCTCAGCCGTTCTAGCCGGCAAGACAGCACTTTATAACCGACTGTTTGAAAGGCGTCTGCAGCATTCCTTGATCCATCGGCGCGCACGTGCACCTACGGGGCTGATACGTTCTTGATTGCCGATTTTCATACCCACAAACAAACGTGGCTGCTCCGCTAGAGCCCCGGACTCAACATCCCTCTCCCCATTCACTCGCCCACCTAACCTAACCCGCGCACTCATCCCAGCCACTCCTACACATACATCCGCCGCGCATCCACCGCGTGGCTATTCCCGCCCATATCATGGACGCAGTCATCGCCGTAAGCGCCCCCCCTGTCCCTTGGCCTTGGTGTTTTGCAGGACCGCGAGATTGTCCCGCCCTCTTCGAACCGGAGGGATGGGTCTCCTCCAGCCACCGCCGAACCACCGCCCGAGTCATCGGCAAGATCGATGAGCCCCGGCGCGAGCGCAAGTATGACTCCAAGCGCTTGTTTGGGTCAATCAGAGACGCGCCTGCTAAAGGATAGTCCCAGGCGCACATCGCCGGGCTCTTTGTCGTCCGCAGCAACGGTACCGGGAGTTGGCGTCTTCGGCTGGAGCGGCGGCGGCCGTGGGGGCGGCAGCGGTGGTCGAAAACTGAGCGGGGATGTAGGCAGTGCTCCGTTGACTTACTAGCGAGATCGGTTCGGGCGAACGTCAAATGCTTCCATTCTTTAGATCATCGCAATTCTGCGACCTCAACACGTGTCCGTTGTGAAGATGGATTGATTGTGGTATCTCCTCGCGCGGTGACGTTGGTGAAGCGCAGTACAAGGGCTAGCCTGCTCGAAGGAGCACACCCGTTCTTTGTAGCAAGGCTCATAGCCTTTCGTCTCAACTATTGAGCGCAGACCGTTGTTACCCTGCGGTATTGTTTTTAGTGTATTGCTCGCGGCCGAGCCCAATTTCTTACGTCATGTTGTTTTTTTTTTGTTAATCTGAACATCGACTCCTTGGGGGGATGTTTCTTTTGAGCGGGGGGCGGGATTGTATGCAAGGAGCGAGAAGCGTGTGGATTGGCTGAAGAGCAGTGATACGTCAGTTTGACGTGTGCGGTTAGATCAGCAGTTGATGTAGTGCCCCACCTACACGTGACATGGCTCTATTTAGCTTATATCACCTGCCAAATGCACCGGCTAGCGTTCAGGTAGTAGATTAGTCTCCGATTAGCTCCTAGCAAAGGCTGCGCGTACTCCAACGTTAGCACTTGTATGTCAAGTTCACGTCACGTTATCAGATCAATTCAGCGGTCAGTAGTATGCACTCAGGCTTTCAATTTATTTGGTTCGATCGGCCGCGCCTACAAGAGTTGTCCGGGAGGCGAAGCCCTGCCATTGGAAATGGTTGAGTGTACGAACCTTCCTACACCAACTGATCCTTGACCGGGTCGACTCTCTCTTGTCGCATTTCCATGGACCTGCGCCCTCCACATCTAGACCAAAGTCTAGATGCTTTACCGTATTCATCCCTTGCCGGGACAGCCGCCGCTACAGCTGCACATATTTTGGTGATGGATGTTGAGTGAGTGCTCTCCACTTGTGTATATGCCCATTTTATCTGTTCAGGATCCATCCATGGATATGTCGTTGATGGTTTTGTGCTCCGTAGCACATTGGTTGGTTTAATTCCGAGCAGAATGCTCTGTATCCCGTGCGTGAAGAGTTCAATCGTGGATGAATGTGTTTGGGTGGGGCCGTGGGGGGTGCTCATTCTTGTTGTTCTAGCGTTTACTTTGTCCGTATCCGAGAGTGATTTGAATGGTTTCGTTGAGGGTCTACGTAATGTGCACGTATGTGCGGATAGTTAGTTTTGAGAGATATTTGCAACCATGCAATGGGCCAGTAATTAATGTGCGTGAGAGCTGTCGGTCCGGATCCGGACTTCAGATTGTCGGCTACACCACCCGCCCCGTGTGGGATCCGGAATAGTTTCCGTTGTTCTACCAGAGTCATTACCCGACTTTCAGGGCCTGCCCCGTGGCAATCTCAAGTGTCTGAAGGCGAAAGATTCTCCCCCCCCCCCCCCCCCGGGATTAGCTTCAAACTACGTAGGGCCGCGTACTCATGCCAGTGTGATGCCACCAACTGCTAGCAGCGCATGGCAAAGCGCCGACGCTGGGAAACCACAAATGCGCGTCTTGATCAAAGCCTCCAAACAGAACTGCTGTTGCAGAAACCCGCGCGTCGTTTGATCACGTTCTGCTCTCCGTAAGTTGCTTTATCTCTGCAATACCTGGTTGTCACTTCCTGTATTATCTCTGTGGTAAACCACTCACAGACCCTGGACGACAAACGTAGTTATTGTTGGTGGTTGGCATCCAATCGTCAACAAGAACTTCCTCAGTACCATAGATAGGACCAGTGCGGAAGTTAGCAAACACGGAGATCGGCACGGTTAGCAATGTGGAGACAGCAACAACAGCAGTAACAACAATAACCGCCGGTACGTGTTTAGGATACAGCATGCCCTCAACGATGTTTCTTCACGCTCCGCCTTCAGTTCCCCTCCCTGCCGCGCGCTCGCTCCCTTCTTGAAGAGTCTTCGCCAACATGGCTGCAAACGCCTTTTCCCAAGCGGGTCTAATGCTGGCGACAGGGTCAGAACATTTTTTTGAGGCAGCAGACGGGTCGGTCCATCCCTATTACTACAACGGCGGTGTTTACCCATTTGACTACTCAGTCAGCGGCTATGACTGAGCAGTCTAATGGGTAAGATATATTCTCGGCCCTTGGCCTCCCAGCTGGAAAAGATATACCTCCGGGGACGGACCCCTCGCCAAACGTTGCTGGAAGAAGAAATAATGGTGCTTACGAAAGTGATCTAGCTGGGGTTCGAACCCGTGCGTATATCGTTTGTCAAGGCTTACCCATTTACAAGTCTATGGGTAGCCTTTCTCAGCAATTTGGGCGGGCGAACGCATAGGTGTGCGATTGACAGTTCAATTGAAGATCGAAAAAAAAAAAAACAAATGCATACTTGAATGGATGGTCTCCCAGATACCCACTGGCTGCAGCAGAATTACACGCTCTTTCTTGTTCGGGAAATACCAGCAAGTGTGCACACATCAGGACGGGTCCTTTCTCATGCCAAGGATTCCACACATCCACACCGCTACAGCAGTACATGCTACATATCTGCTATCTGCTACAAGCACATTGGTCAATCGGTACCTGTTCCTCCGCAAAAAAAAAAAAAACTCGGGCTTGAGATTTCGAATTTCGACGCTACCACACATCTAGCGTGGGTGGCGGTGGTGGTTCTTCGTCACCACCCATACTAATCAGGCGCTCCCAATGCAGAAGACTCGGCGTCTCTGCAACCAAATCTTCTGCGTTAGCTGACGCGTTGCCCTGCTACATGTATCCCAACTTCACACACACGCCACCCCGTGGTTCCGGTGGTGGTGCAGGTTCCGCGTCCATGGTTACGGGCAGCGGGCGGTATGGGGTATGGGCGTCACAGCTGAAAGGCGTTGTGGGCTCTCGTTAAATCTACGACTACGCCGGCTGGTAACCGGGAAGAAGCCAGGAACTACTACTATTGTAGCACTATACATGCTCACGACTCACACGCGGTGATGACCCTTTGACGTGCGACCGCGTGCTACACTTTTCCGAGATTGCAACAACCAGCGGCCAACTGCCTACCGTGTCTCCACCTATGTATGGAAGATGACAATATAGAGCGCTCTATGTTGTCATCTTCCATCTAGGTCTCCACAACCACGTGCACAACAAACTGCTGTTCTTGCTAGGCGTACGCAGCAGTGTCAGCCTGGATCAAGCACATCGATGCATTTTCTTGCTACTCAGTATAAGTACCAATAACTTTCGCGGAGAGTTGCCCCTGGCGGAGAATCGGAGACATGTCGTCAGAACATTTTCAAATTTTGCCGCACGTACAGGTCGCAGGGTCTACAGTCTAGAACGCGACAACCACGGAAGCTGCACAGATGCAGCAGCAGCACCTGACCTGCAGCCGCACGCGAAACCCACATCGCCCTGCCTATCAAGGTTCGTGACGACGTGAACCTGCAGCGGTAAGCGGCAAGCTGCGCGCCCTCGTGAGAGCTTCGAGCTGCAAGGCATATGTGGTGAGCTTCGCGGACACCAAATATGTTTGTAGTCTATCTATGGTCCATCCCGTCAGTTTCGACGTTTGTTCACGTCACATCCCTCCTGCTGACGGGATAAACTTGAAGTAGAGCACAGACGGACGGATCAGATTCCTGCCGGTCGATCTAGCTCTCTTGAAAGGTTATGTGATCGGTGTAGGACTTACCGAAGTCGATGTCGTATGTGTTTTACAGCAGCACTACATGAGTCATCATGTTGTTCGATGAGAACACAAACGGCGCACCTGCTGTAGTCATCACTATGTATGATGCTATGATGTGATGGGTTCATCAATTCTTCCTGCCTGTACACTTTAATTAAGACTGCCGTAGGTGACACAAGATACCGCACCCCCTGGACCGATTTTCAACGTTCTCGGCTACTCCACCACGAAGATGGTGCCAATTCAAATGGTACGTTTTCGGAAAGATCTCGACGAGACGGTTGCAACGCCACCATGTTCGGCGCCGCCTCTCTCTCGACTGTGGACTATGTAGTCAAGATTTGAAAATCGGTCAAGGGGGGGGTGTCTTGTGTCACCCACGGTAGTCTACTGCTGTACGTTCTTGAAGCTGAGACAACAACACCCGCCTGGCCGGCGAGAACCTAATACTGCTGCATGGATTACTTCGGCTAAGCTGTATGGGGTAGGGAACATATATATTGTAGCGTGTTCTTGCTTGTCTGCGAGCATGCAGGCATAATCGCCGTTGTTGTTGTGATGGGCCGGCATGGATGTTGTAAGGTACTGAGAAGAGATCAGAAACGGGCGTGGTCGAGAAAGTATTTATCTGTGGGATTTCCTTCTACACCACACATCTCTGGTTAGGTTTGATACAGTGATCCCAACCGTCATTCCATTCGCTGATCACTCGCAAAACCCCTCCACATCCCACATACATACATACATGAGCTGCGCGGTGTGGTGGGTGTTTGGTCGGACGTACTAATACAAGGTACACATGCCATCGGCCATGTTTTTTAGTGTTCTATGGGACATAAATAGGTGGTCGGTGTACGTTTGCCCGAAGTGATTTGTAGGACATAGTTGGTCGGTGCACAGTTAGCGCCCGCAGTTCAGAGCTTTGAAGTTAAGAAAATGAGCCTAGAAAATGTCAAGATCTATCTAAGAACTTGGCCATGAGAACATGTGGTAAGTTCCGACGTGGTCATAAAGAACAAGGATCCGCCTTTCTTACGGGGGCTTCAAGACAAGAAATCACGAAGGTTGGGGGTAACCCCAGCAGCAGTTCCAGATCCGGGGGGAAGGGGGCGGCAACTCATGAAATAGGACTGGTACACGCGGCGGGGGAGGGTACCGCGTGCTCTTCGAGCTAGACCAAAGCACCCGCAGCATGAAGCCGCCATTCAAAAAGTAAAATGGAGATCAGGATTCGGTGGTACGGACGTGTGGGCTTTGCTTGGGCGGAACACGGTAGAGCAGAGTTCGATCCTACCATCGCAGAGCAAGGGGGAGGTCCGGCCATTAGCAGCAGTGAACCTACGACTGGCGTTTGTAGA